TGCATTTCCTGCAGCACGAGTGGGGCCGCTTCGAGGCCGAGCGAGCCGAATGGGAGGCCGAGCGGGCAGAGCTGCAGGTAGCGTCCCCGCTCCTTTCCCGGGTCGGACTGAGGGCGGTCGCCTCCCGTCACCCCTGCCCAGCATATTCCTCTCTCTCTGTCTCTCTGTCTGTCTGTCTGTCTGTCTTTTCCCCTCTTTCCGTCCCTGGAGTGCCTTTCTCAGCCAACGGCCTCGGAGTTTTAGAGCGGTTTACTGTTGTTTTGAGTGCCAGGGTCCTCAGGCATCTGCCGAAGAATAGCGTTCCTCTGACCACGTGCAGAGTGCTGCTCGTTTTGGATCGCTCGCCCTGATTCACATCTGCAGTTGCGGGGAGGAAATGTATTAAAGGTTAGAAGCTGTTGTTGGCAGTTTCTGCCTTCTGGAACAGTTCTCTCCCTTTTGGTGGAAGGGCATCATTTGGGAACGAGAATCTGACAGCTGGGAGCGGCCAGTCTTAAATCTCAGAACCCGCGCTACGATTTGGGGGAAGAGGAAGGACTATGACTTTAGTCGCTATCCCAGATGCTACTTTTTGGAAAGAGCATTTGTTACTTTTGTTACCAGCATTAGGACAAAGAAGACAATTCTTTACTTATTATTTTTAGAAGACGTTTGTGCCCTTTCAGCTTTGTAATGTGCTGTCAAGTTGCTTCCTCTATGGTGACCCTATGAATTAATTACCTCCAAAATCAGCTTTGTAATGTGCTGTCAAGTTGATTCCTTTATGGTGACCCTGTGAATTAATTACCTCCAAAAGGTCCTATGATTGGCAGTCTTGCCCAGGTTTTGCAAACTAAATACTTTGGATTCCTTTATTGTTTGCGTTCATTTCATATTTGGTCTTTTTCTATTGTCTTCCACTTTTCTTAGCATTATTATCCTCAAGTGAGTCGTATCTTTTTGCTGTATGTCTAAAATATGATAGCCTTAGTTTTGCCATTTTAACTTCTAGTGTTCAGTCTTGGTTTTATCTATAAACCACTTATTGGTCCTTCATGCAATATTTGCAAAGCTCTCCTCTAAGATGACATTTCAAGTAAGTTTATTTTCTTGTTAGTTTTCTTCATTGTTCAGCTTTATATCTGCATAGACTAATTGGAAACACCATAGTATGGATGATCTTGCCCTTGGCCTCCAGCAACGTACCCCTGTACTTTGTGATCTTCTGTAGTTCTTTCGGAGCTGGCCTTCTGAGACCTTGCTTCTGAATATGGGCTGAATGTGATGTAATTCTGGCAACTGTGTGAAATATTTTTTATTTCTAATGAGAGAAAGTCTGGGTGGCTCTAAAAACATCCATGAGAAATACTTTACGTCTATATAGTGTTTTAGAAATTACAAAGTGCTTTAGATACAATATTTGAAAAATTCCTAGGACAACCTCACCTGTATTTATTTATTGATTTCTGCTCTGCGTTTCGCTCTGTGGAGGGCCTTGTAACTAGCTGAAAACAAGCTAGTGAAGAATGCTGTCTTACCATTTCTCTATTCTCTTTTTCCCCAACCTGAAACTAGTAGAGCAGTATTGGAAGTTAATCCTGTAGTTTCATTGTCCCAAGATTGTTTTTATTGGTTGCCTGAAAACATGGCAGCATGTTGTTTGATTGTCATGTATCTTAGGTAGCTGATTCTTGCAGGCAGATATTGTGGGTGTAGTGTGAGATTGATTGCAACTTGTGCCCAGCTCTGTATAGAAATTATAGCTGAGGAAGGACACAAACGAGTTGGTTTTGTTTGTTTGTTTTTGGTGCAGCAACCAGTCTTTTAGCCTCTACATGGCAAATACCTCAATACCATGTGATAGTTAGATGTGAGCATTCTGGGAAGTAGTTTACGAATTGACAGTGGCTAGGTACTGTACAGAATTTTAGCAAGTCTCAAGCATTTTGGGAGAGGCTTTTTTGTGTGTGTACCATGTGTGGAAAAGTTTGTGCCACTCTGTATTAATTAGAGAAAGGAATAGAATGGAAGGATGTGCAGTAGAGATGCAGAAGAATTTTGTTTGATCTGCAATTTGAAGTGGATCAACCTGGTCCATACCTTCTGAGCTAATGTGTAGATTGGAACAAAATAATCTTCTTAATTTTGCACTTTCCCAAGTTCTCATCTCAGAAAAGTGCCAAAACACATATAAAATAAACATTTAAGGATATGTTTTTAGAATTACATACTTTTAGAGAAACTGCATTTAGTTTGAAATAGTTTAATGATGGATATTTTTGAAAATCCAAGATGGGAAAAACAAGAGCAGGAGCTAAGTACTAGTTGGTGGGAAGGCCTGCCAAAAGAACCAGGTCCTCAATTTACTCTTGAAAGCTCCCAGAGAGGGGGCCAGGCAAATCTCCATGGGCAGTGTGTTCTAAAGGCGATGGGCCACCACCGAGAAGGCCTGATTTTGAGTTTTTTTCCTTCTAGGTCTCTCTCGGGGTTAGGCCCCTCAGATGCCCAGCCTGGCTAGAAAAGGTGATACAGGTAGATCTAGGTGGGAGGAGGCGCTCTGCCAGATGTCAAGGTCCTAAACTGTTTAGGGCTTTCGGGTTAAACTGTAGAAGCCTCTGTGCTGTAAGGTCTGTAGATCTACAGCTGTAAGATCAAGTCCACGTGACGGAGTGAGTGCCCGTCACTTGTCCCAGCTCCCACCAACCTAGCGGTTCGAAAGCACGCAAATGCGAGTAGATAAATAGGGACCACCTCGGTGGGAAGGTAACAGCATTCCGTGTCTAAGTTGCACTGGCCATGTGACCATGGAAGATTGTCTTCGAACAAACACTGGCCCTATGGCGTGGAAACGGGGATGAGCACCGCCCCCTAGAGTGGAACACAACTGGACAAAAATTATCAACAGGAGCTTTTACCTTTACCTTATGTAATTGTAAGAACCTTGAAGTCAATGTGGAAGCAGATAGGTAACCAGTGTAAGGTGTCCAGACCAGAGTGATAGAAATATGGTGGAATCTTTTCACCACAGTTAGTAATCTGGCCACAGTATTCAGGACCATTTGAAGGTTCAGCATCAATCTGAAAGGAAGACCCATGTAGAGAGCATTATAGTAGTCTAACCTAAAGACTGCAAGCGCATGGACAAGCATGGTGAGCGACCTAAAGATTGCAAGCGCATGGACAAGCATGGTGAGCGATCCAACATCAAGATAGGAACACAGATGGGCAATCCAATGTAGATGTAAATGGGCAGAGTGGACCACAGATGGTACCTGGGTCTCCATGGTAAGTGCTGGATCAGGATGAACCCCCAGACTGTGAACCAAACTCTTTGTGGTGAGAAACACCCCCCAGAACCCTGGACATGGGGGCAGAGTCACACGCATATACAGGGGTGAAGTCGTGCGCAAGAGAGGCAGCACCCCAGAGGGTATGTTGTACACAACTTTATCTCTCCTTTTCATCATCAACAGTGGCAGTTGTATGGACCCTGGAGCGGTGTTTTGATTATGTCTCTCTTTTGCTGTGTGTGGTGATTGGAGTTTTTGCGTAGGTACCGGTCTGTGTAGGTGGGTTTTCTGTAGACCTTGTGTCCCTATAGGAGGCCAGTTTTGCATACGACCATGACATCTAAGAAAGGGAGTTGACCCTCTATTTCTTTTTCCATGGTGAATTGTATATTTGGGTGGATGCTCTTGAGATGGTTTAAAAATTCTTCCAGAATTTAAAGCTGATCCCACAGTTACAAATACTCAACTCCCAAACAAACTGCACCAGAGCACAGAGTGCTGCTACTGTCGTCTGAAGATGCTGGCCAAAGAGACTGGCGAAACGTTAGGAAAAACAACCTTCAGAACACGGCCAAAGAGCCCAAAAAGCCCACAAAAAAAAAAAAAATGAAAAGGTTCCTAAGCAATACTAATTACAGTGGTGCCTCGCGTAACGAGCGCACCGTTTAACAACAAATTCGCATAGCGATCCATTTTTTGGGATCGCTATTGCGATCGCATACTGATGCTTTCTATGGCCGAAAATCGCTTTGCGAAACGCTTACCGATTTTTGCATAGCGATTTTTTAAAACAGCTGATTAGCAGTTCCAAAATGGCCGCGCGCAGTGTTTTCATGCCCTGCCCTTGCTTACCGAGGGTGCGAAAATGGCGGCCGGATGGGGAAACATCACAGAATGGTGAGTTTTGGGCCCCATTGGAACACATTAAACGAAGTTTAATGCGTTCCAATGGGTTTTTCCATTCCGTATAGCAATGTTTTCCCATAGCGACAGTTAATCCGGAACGGATTAACCTCGCTATGCAGGGCACCACTGTATATAGACAGAGAAAAATTAAAAAAAATATAATACTTTAACAAATAAGATTAAAAGACCCTATCAACCCCACATTCCCTACAGATTAACAAAGCAGAAGGTTAAAAAATACAAATAATATCAAAACCTGACACTATACCTGACACTGAATAAATAACATCTGAAATAATATACAGGAAAAAGAACAAAAGTAACAGTAAGGGGGGGGGAAACATTGTAAATAGTTTCCAAAAAATAACTCAGGCTTTAAGATTAACACCTACAGAGGCGATCCAGGGTTTTAGCAGGCAGTTCCAATAAAGGAGAGAAGATGGCGGATCCCCCCACTGCTGATCACTGGGTCAAGGGGAGAGCGCTACACTAGCAGTATACAAGGAGGTAGGCTAAAGGCCACAAGGGGGCACTCTTCTCTGTTGTACTGTATATATAAGGCTGCGGCAAACCTCAAGTAAGTGAAACCGCAGATGTGAGTCCTGTGAATAAGAGGGTCCTGATGTAGTTGACAATATGGAAGAAGAAAACTTGAAATATCAAACATTGGTTTTAAATATGGATCCAGGATATAAAAAATCAACTTCAGTTATGTTTTCTAAATGTGAAGAATCATTAGGTGAGGAAAAGGTCACATGCAATCTGTGGAATTGTTTGGCATGGCTGCTGTTGATATTTTGGATACAAGAATATTACATAATGAGTTTCTAGGTGCTAGTAGTGTCATATTAGAACCTCCCTCTATTAATGTATTTGTAAATTAGATGTATAAGTATTGTTAG